ATGAAAGGCACTAAAACTTAATGGGATATGCTCACCTAAATTCTCTGAAAATCCAAACCTAATTTTGGTTGGATGAATAAATTGCCCGTATATTTTTCCCTATCATCAACATCATCGGAGTAAAAAGCCGCCCTAGGTTCTCACACTTCCTGTTCCCCTCTTTTTTCAGCCTTTTTTGAGAATAAAAATTACATTGTTTTGCCTTTGGTGCAATTGTGCAAGCTTTGTGCCACTATTATGTTTCCACCTCCCCCCCCACAACTCAGTGCCCCGGGCAGTGCTCCAGTTATTCTGCCCCAGTTAGGCCACTGGCATCCTTGTGAAAATTAGTCCAGATCTGGCTAAATTCTGAGCCTCTTCCAATTTGCATGTGCTCAGTGGTAGAGTTTTCATATATTCATAGATGTTAAGGTCTGAAAGGGACCTCACAAGATCATCAGGTCCAGCCCCACTGCATTTGGGCAGGAAAGACAGCAGGGGTCAGATGATCCCAGCAAAATGGTTGTCAAGACAATTTTTGAATAGCACCAGGGTGGGTGACTGTACCATTTTGGCAGGCGTCTGTTCCAGACCTGCAGCACTTGACTTACAAAGAAGTTTTTTCCCCTGCATGTAAAAGCTGTGCCCTGTGCTATACCACTGCTTGCAAGGTGATGCTGCGACTCGGATTCGAACCGAGGTTCCTGCGGCCACAACGCAGAGTACTAACCACTATACGATCACAGCAAGCTACTGGGGCTACAGAGCTGCTAGTGTTTGGCAGTGATGTCCTCTCAAGCTTTCATGTCTCCTGAATAGGCTCTGTTCCAGGGTGTTTCCACGTGTCACTTTATTGCCCCTTCACCTTTTTATTGTTGAGAATTAGATACAGCAGAGATGCAAAATCATGAATGGTTGTCTCTCAGCTGATACATGTGGGATCATACCTGGGACATTCAGAGCTAAAAATCTGTACTGCCACTGCTTTTGTGCTAAAACAGCTAGCGGCTGTAATCACTCATTTCCCGTGTGCAATGGGAGAGAGAGGGGCCTCCTAAAACACATTCACTGATGTATTAAATAGGCACCAGAAAAGGGGGTGAACAAATCATAAAAGTTTTGTCAAGAGTAAAATTTACCAATCTTCCACTAAATAATTACCAGCTCACTTCAGAAGGGATCTCTTAGTCATCAAGTTAAATAATAAATAATACTACATAAGGTTCAGATTTGCTGATGTGACTAATATACCCACCCCCACCTCAGAAAAAATAATACCCTGGTTAAGTCTCTGTCCGAGTTTCTTTTCTAAATCCTGAAAGAGCTGGAATGTTATTACCACAAAAAATCAAAGCTTACTGGGATAAAACTTGCTTTAGGCCAGGTAAGTCTCTCTTTTTTTTTTTCCCTTTAGAGACATAAAGGTTGTTTAAATATCTTAATCCATTTTTGAAATGCAGAGCAGGTCTTCTCTACCTCACTAAACCCTCAAATCCTTAGTGGTCCAGATGCTTTATTTTCAGTGAATTTTTAAGTGCAAAATATGAAATGTTGCCATTTATCTGAACTAATGTGACCCTCCTTCCTTATTGTGAATGTAAAACACTTTTCAAATTAGAAAGACATATGCCATATGTTTGAATAGAAAAGTGGGAAATCTACTGACTAGACACAGCCTGTGTCCTCTAACTGGGTACATTGATTCTGTTTGAATTTTTATGCCGTTCTAAAGACTGGTGAACATACCATTCATTTAATTGCTGTCTGATGTCAGATTTCTTTTCTCGATGCATAGCTCCAACAGAATGTGCTGTCATGAGTGTAAGGAGTGGCCAGATTATATTGCCTTTTGCTCAGTTAGACACATTTTAGCACAGGGCGCGAGCAGATTTGGGTAGACTTCAGGCTGGAATGCAAACAGCTAAATGGCCCCCTTTTCAGGCTGGAGCATCACTAGAAATTAATGCAGTTGTAGCAATGCCCAATCTTTCAGCATAATTCTCAGGGGAAGGAGAAAAAAAAATGGAGTCTCATTTTGCAGGTGCATTTTTGCCAACAGTACCTTGACATTGCAATCAGACCTGTACAGCTAAGGCTTCAGTAGGCTCTGTAGGCACAGAGGGCTTTCCCTACGTGGATCTAATGGCAGGTTCAGGTCTAAAGTGGGTACTAACATTTGCATGGCTGTGCAAATCTGAGGCTTTTTGCCCCTATATGAGCAAGGGCACAGTCAGCTCCTACAGGTGCTAGAATGTGTTCCCATCATTTGTATTGTTTAACTGTAGCCTAAATGAAAATGTAGGCCAAAATATCTACAAAGGTACTAGAGACAGCAGATATCATGAATCCAAATTAAACCCTGATTCTGTATCTGGCACATTTCCCCAGGTAAATGCAATGATATTGGCCTAGTCACTTTTCCTTTCCTGTTCACACTTGTGATGATTTCCACAGTGAGCTTTTAGTTAACTGTTGCCGAGGCTGTAACTCACTGAAGGAATTCGGACTGTAAAAGCAACATTTCAATTATACGAATAATCACATTCAAAATGTTATTTGAATAATTTGAGTTCTTAAATTAAGCAGGCACTTTTTTTTTTCCTCAAGTGAACTATAAATTACATTTTCCGCTACATTGGCAGTAAACGGGTAATTAATATCTCAACTTTTCCTTCTTAATGTTGATTTAAGAAAAATAAAATAAGCCCAGAACATAAATGAGCTTTGCTCTCACAGCTCAGATCTTATTGCCCTTCCCTCTGAAGCTGCATCATTCTAGGCCAACTTTTTTAATATGTGCATAGCAAGGCAGTTACATGGCCTCGCATTTTAACATAAATGAAAGCAAGAGAGGACTAAAGCAGTCAGAGCCAAGATTTTTACAGTTTGTTTTTTTATTGCCAAAGAAAAGAGTTCTTCATCTCCCAAACAATGACATTTCGCATAGTATTTTTTGATGCAGAGCAAAGAAGGGATTTTGGTGAATTTGCTGTAAAGTAAATATTTGCTATCTTAGCAGCTTTCTTTCTTGCAACAAAATAACAAACAAAAAAAGCCATATTTTCTTGCAATTTCATAGCTGAAGAGAATACCCTTAGAAAAGCTTGATCCAGATCCTTAGCTAGTATCAATTTGAGTATTTCCATAGAAGCTGGTTATGTATTCTGTATTCTGGCCATGTATCCTGATGGATGGGGGAATTGTATGTGATGGGTGATACTGAAAAAATGCCAACATTTCTCAAAACAAAACAAAACAAAACAAAAAAAGCATGAACCCACTGGCTGTAAGGCAGGATCTTCAGTGACTAAATCATCTCAGCCAAGTGTCTGCCCGACCTGCTCTTGAAAATTTTCAAGGATGGAGCTTCCACAACTTCTCTATGTAGCCTGTTCCAATGCTGAATAGACTGGAAAACTAGCCTGCAGTCAACCCAATGTTGAATCTCATTGGATTGACTGCAGGCTAGTTTTCCAGTCTATTCAGACCATTCTGCACCATAGCTCTGGCCTCCAGAGTGTCTTCAACTCCACCTAACTTGGTGTCACCAGCAAAGTCACTGTGTGTGCTCAGTCCCACCATCTGAACGCCATCATCATAATCCAGTACAATACCTTAGACAGCTAAATAAACTTTATTACCAGTAAATCAGAATACGCATGCATTCCTCAATCCCACCTAACATCGGTAAGAAATGTGATGTTTCAATATTTTTTTCTTGGGTGTTCTTTCCCTCTCTTCCTATCTCTAAAATCTGACGTTAGAAATCAGTAAGAAGACTCATGCTATCAGTTCCTAGATAGGTTTTAACAGCTGGGGGCACGTGTTCTAAGTATAGGCTTTTGACTCTAGAATTTACTTCTTTCCTATATTTTTGTATATGTTGACATGCAAACTGTATCAGGCCTTCTCTTTTAATGCTTTATCTAGAGCTATGGCTTGGTTTTCTGGGTTGGGGCACCCATTCTTTTCTTGATAATATGGGATTAGTGGAGTATCTCGGTGACTGTGAGATTAGGTTCATTGTTAATTAGTTCCCATATGTATTACAGGACGCAGCTCTGGGGAGCTCAGATGGTGGGGACAGACTGGGACATGCCTGGATTGGGCTGGGACCATGGTCACAACTGTGACTTCCTACTGCAGGGCACAGCAAGGAAAAAGCGGTTACATCTTTTGAAAGTGCAGCAGTTGTTCTTGCCTGACATATATATACCTATCAGGCATTGGGATGCCTTCGACAGCTGTAAATATCTGGCATAGCTTGAATACTAGAGGTATTGCTCCAACTGAAGCACTCTGCAGTTTTGCACAGCCACTATTTGGCCCAGTGGTCTGAAGTTTGATGTTGGCTATAGCGCTTTCAATGTAGAACAACTATTTTGACTGCTATGGGGAAATCCTATTCCAAATGAAATCAATGGGAGGATCATCACCAACTTCAGTGGAGTCAGGATATTATCCCTGAGAGTACTGAAGTCAGAATCTAGGCTGCAGTGCAATGAGCTACTTAAACAATATCCCTCACTTTAAGCATGTGTACAGCCTTATTCCTTTTAATGTGACAATTCACATGCTTAAGGTTAGGCAAAGAACAAGTGCTCAGTTGTCAGCCTCGTTCTTGGGAAACATTGAGATTTTTCCACCTCCTTCAACAATTAACAAATACATTATTCATGAATACATTTGATTCATTATTTGACTGGATGCATAGATGGTTAAATAATCGTCATCAAATAAATTAGTCTCAATTTTTTACTATTAATCAGCAAATGGATTATTTACAGATAATGTGCTTTAATTATTCAGCTGCTTCTGGTATTTAACTGCAGTACATGGAAACCCTTATTCCTAGGTCAAAAGATTTTACTTTAAAGGATAACGGATTGACTTTTGGGAACAGTTTTCTGGTAAGTGCTAGTGTAGTGTTGTTTGGGGTGTGAGGTGGGTGTCATGTTTTGGGTTTTTTTTTCTTTTTATCCCTACTTTTTTCATTTCAGCTTATTCTTTGATTTTTTTTCCCATTTTCCTTCATTAGAAGACTGTTGTGTCTGCCACATAGATGATATACAGCTTGCCGAACTGTAACGGCAAACTGCACTTTGTTAGTACATATCAGAGCTTTCTTTTGTCCAAGTTGTTTCCTTGGCGTTTTCTCTCCACAAAGCTATATAATTAACCAGGGTCACTTTCCTTGTTCTGCATTTTGCTATTTTCCACAAGTATGGGAATGTACTATGCCCTCCGTGACTTGGATAAGTGGTTTATACAATCGCATCTTTGACAGCTATCTTTTATAGTGTAGCACAACCAAAGACGTAGTCACTTAACCAGTAGGCCTTTAACTACTGTGGGATTGGACAAAAGGTAAAAGTCTTGTAATAGTGGTATCTATCTCTGAGTTTGCATTATCATTTCATAAGGCAAAACAGAAGGTGATATAAGCCCACTGCCATTCCTTAGTTTTTGACGGAACATATTCATCAAAAAAGCATGCAGTCCCCTGAGCTCGCAGCCATATGCTACAGGAAAATGTCACCAGTTAAAGATGTATTCATTTGCTGTTTTGAAAACTCTGTTTGATATTCATACATTCCAAGTGTTTTGACCTAGATTTCTGTAGAGGCATTAGATCCTGTACTGAACAGGAAGCTAGACAGCTGTTGCTTGTGTAGTCAAAGGAAGAATCTAAAGTAAAAGAAAAAAAAAAGAATAAAAAAAATGAAAACATTTATTAATGCATGCCAACATTTTGCACAGCCAATATGTTTAATACTAGATTAACTAATATAAGCATATGGGGATGCATTTGTTGCAAAGCTTTAAAGAAAAGAACAAAGAAAAAAGTTGGATGTATCTAAAGTTCACACGGAATAGAATTTGCACTTTCTCCTATAAATGAAAGCCTGGTGAAATGGCAACATACTTTAATTATAAGCTTCTTGCTAATGTCACAGCATTTAGGTTTTTTCGGCTATATGATAGTGTAAGCTTCTCAGCACATATCCTGGCTAATGTGAAAACCTACAGGTAGTAAATATCCTTCTGGGCTTCTACAAGCTTTCAGAGCCTATTTCACCTCTAAGACTTATGGAGGATTTATTCATTGCACATGTGGCTTCATTTCAGATTAATCCAGCTACAAGTTAGACATAATAGAAAAATAACTCCTTGGTCATTAAACTGTTGTATTCAATCCCTAACAGTAGTACCTAGGCCACATTTTTATGTTAGTGAGTTTACACTCCTTTGACTTGAACAGCAATGCTCCTGCTTCACAAGGGTTAGAGTTAAATAGATGTGCAGGAACATTGCTTTGATAAACATAGGCAGTCCGTGCAGTTGTAAGAACTTGGTGCGCATTAGAAAGAGCAGGCTGAAATACCTTCATTCAGAGGGTATTTGTCACAAATTTCAGCCTCTACTGTCTTGACTGCATCCGTATTCCAGCAACAGGCAAATATAATGACAACTATTTTCATCCAGAATGCTATACAAAATTGTAAAAATGTTTAGATGGAAATATTCCAAGAACTCTATTCATATGTGCTCGTCCAATATTTTATGCAAACAGATTTCTGCCTCTGGTTTCTTTTCAAATCGTTCAGTTTCGCTCTTCAACAAAGTATGTGATTGATCAACTAAGTCATCCTTTTTTTTCTGGTCTCTGCTCGGATGATTGACATTTTTTAAATATGAGATTAACCAATGAAGAAGTAAAAAAGAACCATGCAATTCTTCAAGAATAAGGGATAGTTTCTCCCCACTGTTGATACTCCAGTATCTTGATGAATGTTCTCAAGCAAATAATACGAGGCAAATTCAACATTTCAGTTACAAAGACCCTGAATTGTCTTTTATATAATTTGACCAGTGAATCTGCTATATGCATGCTATGCATTTGTGTTCTCCATAGGAACACATGCTATAATTGGACATGGTCCCAAACCACGCCATTTGTATCTGAGCCTGCATTAGTTGTAAAATGAAAGTTTTTCTGCTGGGGTTCAATTTTTTTATTCAATCCACTACTAATTTAGGCTTTCACCATGAAGTGTTGCCTGGCATCTGAGTATGGATTTGAACTTTCCTAGGGCTTGGTAGCTGGAAACTGGCTTAATATCCCATCTTTAAATACAGTCAAGCCCAGAGACTTTATACCACAGATAGAGCAAATGGAGAATGAGGAGAGTTAAGAAGGGACATGGAAAGGTCATGACAAAGTCAGAGAGGAATTCAGGAGTGGTGAGAAAATAAGCATGAGATGGTTGGGAATGTAGGAGTTTACAGAAGGAATGTTAAGAGCAAGGAAGGTCATAAACATTTTTTTTAATTAAAGAAAAGTAAAATAAATATACTCTAAACACAGCTATCTAGCTACCAGCCATATCCTCTTCTCTGCTACTTATGAGTGCAGTATAGAAGTTTTGGACCTTTCATCCACAGGGCAAAATCTTTGTATTGGCTCTTATGCACGTGTAACTGAAATCCTAAATTCTGTTCCATATCAAATTCTGGAGCAATGAAGTTGAAGTGTGCCCGCTGCGTGCAAATCAAACGTGCGTTTCTGCTCCCTCTCCCAAATCAAAGAGCAGGTTGCACTGCAAATTGCCATTCCTTCAGTTTTTATAGTCTACTTCTGCAAAATTGTTCCATATGGTTAACGTTAAAATTTATGGAGGATAGAAATGGTTGGGCTGCTCTTTGTATTAATCCAAAATGTGTCACTGTGTCAGGAAACACTAACTGTTTACAGCAAAGCATTAGCTAAATAATGGTTTTAGTCCTTCACTAATAACAGTCCTGACACAACTGAAATATCTTATTACCCAGCGTGCACCAGTTAAGAACTCAAAGTAGTATGCTGTACTGCAGCCAGTTTGAACAGATGGATTTAGATGGATGCAGAGTCAAATATATTCCTTTTTGGAATTTGTCTGCCTAATTTACTCATGTTACTATTACAGAGATACCAAGATAGCTGATGAAGCTGCTCTGTACTGTATTTACTCTGCTGCATTGCCACACATAGATGTGATTCATAGACTCACAGGAATTACAGATGGAAGAGCCATATTAGATCATTCAATCCATCTCCCTGCTGATGCAGAATTGCTGTCTACAGCTACAGTACATTTTCTCCTGTTTTGTCTGGTCTAGTTGTAAAAGCTCCCTAACATGGGACTTCCACAGCTTCCCTTGGGAAACTACTCCACAGTTTAGTAATCTTCAATTCTCATCTTTCAAAATTGCCACTGTCAGAGACTGGCTAGAGAACTAGATGGGCCATTGATTTGTACTCTGATGGTAATTCCTCCATTCCTAATCACTAGGTGTCCCTGTACGAAGATGCTGCACTATCAAAATAGCCTGGTGCTTGTGGGCACATCTCAACTTCGGAGCAGTGGTCCTATTCCCACCCCCCCTTGCAAATTATACTGAGGCTTTGCAAACCTAACGTTTCCTATAGTTTTCCTTTCTGAATACCCTGCCACACGTGTGATTCCCCAATTTAGTTTGCACAAATCTTGTTGTGAAGATTATCTCCCGGGGAATATCATCCCCTTTGCATTGTCCCACTGGCACATCAAGTTCGAGGTCCTTGTCCTTACAGTCCAGCCCCTGCATAACTTTGTCATCCCCTCCATTCTCTCTTTTTCTGCTTCTTCATTACCCCCTCACTTCAGTCAGTGATACCAGGTTTTATGCTTCTTTAGCTTATTTCGTCTACAGTTGCTTTTATGTTCTCTGCAATGTCAGGAGAGCCTGACAAATAACTGATTCTTTTCTTCAGGTCTAAGAAATGGGGGCAAAAACGGTTTCAGCTGAAATGAAGCAAAACACGTACAAATTTTCACAAACCAAAAAAAAAAAAAAACCAGAAAAAGAAAAACATTTGCGGAATGATGCATTTCATTTACATTTTGAGCCTTTTAACCTCTTTAAATAATATTGAAAGAAAATGCTGAAGAAAAAGCTGATTCAAGTGTTTTGTTTTGTTTTTTTTAAATGTATCAACAAAGTGTTTTGATTATCACCTTTTTGCACCAAAAAAAAATCAACAAATCTGAGACACATGCGGACAGTATTTCAGTGTAATTGAATCTGCACTTAAAAATGTTGGACTGTGCTCTACGTTACAGCTGTACATGAAACAACTTCCCTGCGCTGGTCCATAGGGTCACATTTCCCTGTATGTTTACTTCATTCCTAAAGCCCATATTGTGACATCTGTGCAAAACTAGCTAATTAATGCTGGCAAATTTGAGAGGTAACTGGTAGCAGTCCGTATGCTTACCTATCATAGAGCATTAAGGCTTAACTACTAGTGGCATTTGCAGATTCTTCAGCTCCCACTTCAGTCACTGGGAGTTGTACTTGATTATAAAAAGCTGATTTTTTCCCCATCTCAGAAATAACTAGAAAAGGAAAAACGACCCAAGATAAAAGAAGAATCAACTTAAAGGTTGATAGCAATCCTTCATGCAATGCAAGGAAATGTCCATAATTTTGTGTGTCTGTGCATTAATGAAATGATAAATACACATTTTTGGTCACTTCCGGTCATCTTTCTGAGGGCTGGGACCAGAAGTGAAAGTGCCAAGTACCAAAACAAACACAGTTAGGCTACTAATACCAGCTCATCTGGAAGCAATAACTACAGTCAATCACAGAGTATATCTTTATCTGATGAGATTTCCAGCCCCATTTTTTTAGACTCAAGGGGTTCAGATAGTTCAGATAAGGTTTGGCAGCTGAATTGGTACTTGTCCCAAGCAAATCTCCCGAGGTTCACAAGTCACTAGTAATAAATGAAAGTCATTACAAGGTGATGGTTGTTTTGTGAACTACATGAAATAAATTGGTGGTGCCAGTCTTGGTCCTAAGAGACATATGTCTATATTCCAAAGCTACCATGGGCCTATTTGAGGTATCACAATGGACCCAGTCAATGACTATATTGGGGGCCTCACATGACCTCCCATCTCTGATTGTGTTGGGGGAGCATGAACTGGTACACGAGGGGTAAGTGGAGAGAAGTCTTCAAGGGCTTTTGATATAGCACCTTCATGCACTGGAGCAAAAGAGTCCTCATAGGGGATGTCAGCAGAAGAAACAAGCTGATTATTCGGGCGCAGTATGTGTAGCGAGAAGTGCATCCATCTCATCTTTTCCCCATTAGCTTGTTCACCTGCTATGCCAGGTGTTCTCATTAGCCATATGTATAAATATTTGTCTAACTCTTTTTTTTATCATTCTGGTTTTGTATGTATAAGAAGAAATGGAAGCAATCTGTATGTGAAAATCAGCTTTTGGAGATTTCCTTTTGGCTGCTGGGAGCTGGGTTTCTTTTAACAGCCCCTGTTTGCAGGCGACTGCTGTCTCAGAGACACATTTCCAACAAGTAAGAACCAGCTTAGTACAAAAAACCCCAAGATATTGATGAGTTATTGACCTTCCACATGTTGCATGTTTGACCAGTACGTCTGAATGACACCAGCACTAAGGAGTATAATCTCCTCTCAATGAATCAATATGGATCCCATTAACACTTGATGGAAGGATAAGAATGCTTTCAAGGGCCTGACCCTACATTCATGGTATGCATAATACTTCCATTGAAAGCAGAGGAAATCTCATTCATGCTAAGAGCATATACATCATATTTTTTAATAAAACAAATAGAATCAGATCCATAAAACGTAAGGCACACCCAACTGATAAATGAACTTCAGGAGGTTCCAAGATCCCATTCCAATTAGTATATGAAAGTTTGGGTGCTTATTCAAAGCTTATCCAGACCGCTTTTCTCTGGAAACAAAGGAAAATTCAAAAGTTCAGCCCTTCCTGTGAGGTTTCTACTATGCCAGAGGTTTCAAACAGATTAGGAATAATAACCAGATTAGGTACAGATGTACAGGAGGTTAAATGGAATGTTTCAAATTCCCAAGGAATGGTTGGATCTTAATATTTAGTTAACTCTTTTCTTCCCCTACCTTTCTTTTCCTACATCTAGTAATCTGCCTATCCCAGTTCTGCTTTAGAGAGGTTTATATCCCTTGCCCGGAGCCCCTAATGCCAGCTCAGATGCTAAATGCAACAATAGACATGGCACTGCCTTAGGTAGCCCAACAGTGAGTGAAAAACACTTTGATAGTTCTCACTCGTCCGCCAAAGGTAAGTAAGCACCAATTCCTATTGACATCCCTAAGCACCCATTCCTATTATCAATGGGAATCTCATTTCTCTCTGTGACTTGGAAAGTTTCCCCATAAATCTGGACTCACGTCGAGATTTTTCAGGCTAAAATGTTCCTTTTTGTTTCCCTGCTTAGAAGGTTCCCTCCTACTATTGCAGGATAACTGAGAATCTGGGGATGAAACACACTAAGATAAAAGGAAAGTAGGGCTACAAAGGATCTCAGGAGGTCTAGTCCAGCTCCCTGCTCAGGACAGGATCATCCCAGACTTGTCTATCCCAGTCAAGTGTCTGTCTGACCTGCTCTTAAAAATGCCTGAGGATGAAGAATCCACAACATCCCTAGATAGCTTGTTTCAGTGCTTAACCACCACCCTTCATTTTCTCTTCATTCTCTATCTCTGCAATCAGATGGACAGTCTTCGCAGTATTATTGGACAACAATGGCATTCCCCATCTGCTTCTCGATAGGCTTTGAAAGTCTTCAACCTGCAAGAAAAATACTGCTGGGGAGGGCGGGGGGGGGAGGGGGGTGTCAGAGTTTTAAGAAACTAAATTATTTATTTCCTAATTTATGCAACATTAGATAAATGTAGAAAATGCCAAGCCTGAAAGGTCAAGTGGGCCTCCAAATGGTATTTCACAGTGACACTTCATTATATGTTTAACATGGAGTGCTCTCCAGAAAATGAAGGACCAATGGCAAATGTTCACATAAAAATTAATCTTAAAAGCACTAAGGGCTGATTTTTATTTATATACTTATAAATCATATGTACATCTATGCTGAGGCCTCTCACACTGCTAGAACACTATAAAGTAGCCTTTGGGTACTCTGGGCCCGTGACAGAAGAGTCTTTATTAAAAACTGAAAGCTACCGATAACCCTCCAACGCTTCCCATCGCTTGTGCGTGCAGATGATAGAAATGGATCCCATTTTTATAACGGGTTTATGCAGATTTTTGTCCAGATGGATTCAGTCTCCTGCATGCAAAGGGTTCAAAAAGAGCAAACCTAATTCTGTGCACCCCTATTCTTCTGTTGCCTGCTTTGCAAACTTTGGGGGTTTAGCTGAAACTGTTTGGATCAAGCCACAAGTGTTTGCAATTCAATATAGATTAAACAACAACTTTCACTGATGACCTATTCTCACAGAATTTAGGGGAGCAAAAGATATATGCCATTATCAGGTCACCTGTCAAGAGGGTGCAGTCCGTCCCCCACAGAACATTTTTCAAACGCCCAAGTGAAGTGTAACAACACAGGCTATACAAGGATGGGGGGATTTTCCATCTCTCAGAAGACCACATACCTTTCTGGAATCTAAATTTTAGCTAAATGCAAGCTATTAGGCTCAAGACGAGAGGAATTAGGCAACAATCTATGGCCTGAATTTTACAGGTTAGAGCACTTAACTGAATGCCTTTCCTGGCCTTTAAAATCCAAGAGCTTAGACCAGCAAACTAAAAGTAATGTATGTACAGACAAGATGCAAACTCATGTGTGTTTGTCTGTGTGTATATGTATATATGAACCAAAACTTGCTGCAGCTTGCTGGGTTAGGGTGCCCTCAGAGAGAGGATCTTCACTTCTTCATTTATATACAGCAGCCAAAAAAAACAAAAAAAATCCTTTCCTTCAGGGATAGAGAGGAGCTAAATAAAGCAATCGCCTTGTTTTTCTTGAAATGTCATCTCCTTCAGAAGAAAACGAAGAGTAGAAAAAACTTAAGTGTCTGGCCAAGAAAGGGGAGGGGACGTAGAGAAGGGATATATCAGTCATCCGCATCAGACAGACTGCACTGTGCACAGGTAAGAGGGGTATGTGAGAGCACAGCCCCAGGACACTGGGGCAGGGGAGATACCTGCGGCTCGCTACAGAAACTACCAAACAAATAAGGTCTTAGTGGCCCACAAGTGAGATCATTGTGTCAGTGATAAGACAGAGGGATAAGCCAGTTCTCCTAGCCATGCTTCGGCTCGCCTGGCCTGACGGATTTCACGGGTCCAGCAGTCGCATCAAAAACACCCTTGGCCTTTGATGAATGAGCTGTTTGTTTTTCTTGCTGATGGCTTGATAAGAGGTCACAGGATGTGTTCAATATTTTTTTCTCTCTCCCTCTGTCTCTCTCTCTTTCTTTTCTTTTTTTTAAAATTAAACAATAGGGTAAGAGAGAAAGCCCCAGCCCAGTCCCAATAGGTCTCTCAGGTCCCCCGTGCTGCCTCATTTCCTGCCTTTTTGAAGCAGACATCCCCCTTTTGTTTTCCCACTGCCTGGCCAGCGCGTGTCGGTGCTGCAGCCACCAAACAAATATTTTTTTGTCAGCCCCACCTCCCCTCCCGCCCCACCTACAGCCGCCCGCCACTGCTCCTGGACAGCCTGCTTCCTGAGGACAGGAGGTCGCTGCCGAGCCGCCGCCACCCTCACAGGAAGAGATAGAAGGCCTGCGCCTGTACAAGCGGAAGCGACGGGAAACCCCTGCAGCTGCCAGATTGTGCTATTTGTGGTCAGCGAGCAAGCGTCGGAGGCGCTCCATAGGGCTGCAATAGAGCTTTCCTGTTAGGAGGGCCTTGGCCCCACTGCTGCTTGCAATTAATGACACATCAACTCCTACACACACTCAGGAAGTGCTGGGATCAAAAGATAAGCCCTCCTCTACTTGATCCGCCACAGGGCTTTGCCAGTTGAATGCATCTGAAACTTCAGTGAAAGTTGGAAACAAAGTCAATGCGCCCATCAGCTTGGCCTAGCTTGGCTGATAAATGCTCCCCCCACCCATAGGCCCACCCAGTCTTTTTCCTTACCTGGAAGATGAAGCTTCACAGCAGCAGGCTTTGTCATTTGTTGCCTCCCTCCCCATTTTCCAGGAAGGACGGAAGCTGATCTTCCCACTGGGGCCTAAACAAGCAAATGCTCAAAAAAAGCTGTGTTGAAAAGATAGATTTCATAGTTTTTTAGGGTTGGAAGGGACCTCAGTAGGTCATCGAGTCTGACCCCCTGCCCTAGGCAGGAAAGAGCTCTGGGGTCAGATAACCCCAGCCAGGTGCATGTCCAGTCTCCTCTTAAAGACCCTCAAGGTAGGGGAGAGCACCACCTCCCTTGGAAGCCCATTCCAGATTATGGCAACCATCACCACAAAGACATTTTTCCTAATGTGCAATCTAAATCTGCTCTCCGTCAGTTTGTGGCCATTGTTCCTAGTAACCCCAAGGGGCACCCTGGTATATGGAGTATCCCCTATTCCTTGCTGCCCCACTTCCCCTGATGAATTTGTAGATGGTCACAAGATCCCCTCTCAGCTCTTGCAGAGGCTGAAGAGCTTCAGGACCCTCAATCTCTCCTCGTAGGATCTTACCTGTAGGCCCCTAACCATGCGAGTGCCCCTCCTCTGGACCCTCTCAAGGTTATCCACATCCCTCTTGAAGTGCAGCACCCAGAACTGGATGCATTACTCCAACTGCAGCCTTACCACTGCTGCATAGAGGGGAAGTATAAAAGGGGAGATGTTTTAGGAGAGACATCAACTAATCCCAGCCTCTAGCTGTGAATTTTGGACTCCGATTCTATGCATTCTCCAAAAATATGGCCATTACCAGCCAAGCTTGTTTGGTTCAAACTTCACATTTTAGGGGTGGAGGGAGGGGGTTGGCCCAGGCCCTTGTTGCTGATCTATTCCCTGTCTGGAAAGGGGCAGCCTGTATGGTAGCAGTAGCCAAAAAACACAGCACGGAGGAAAGGTTTGTCTAGCTGACCTGCTTCTACAGGGATCTTCCTAAGGGTTGGGAAGTCTTTTGGCAACACTACTTTTTCCAAATAGAAAGGTGTGCTCTGAACATCCGTCCAGTAACCACCTTGCACTGCAGTTTACAGTGGTCCTAAATTGTTAGGAACTGTAAAAAAGCAATTTGCCCCCTGAATGGGAAACCAATTCCCTATCTCCTTCCTTTTGATCACTTTCCAATGGCCCCTCCTTATAACCTCTTTGCAAAGCTAATGGACCGTTTTGTGCAGAGGTTCCAATTTACATCCAGAGGACCAGAAAGAGTTAAAGGAATTATTCATATAGGCAAATCTTAGCACTAAAATAAACCCATCTTCCTGAGGTCAGCGACTCTGCCCAGCAAAGTAGAAGAAAAGGTGTAGGAGTCTGATGCTGATTAAGATGCCACATGCTGGGAAGGTATCAGTTTAAACACTTTAGACTGTTACCTGCTCAGCAGGAGAGATCTGAATCCGCAGTTGATGATTAGGCCATATTTATGCCTCATCTCAGCGAGTCTCTATCCATGGGCTTGATGAGCAGAGTGTATAAAACTTACACCAGCGTCTTCATATTAACCTGTGGGGTGATGAAAGGTTTCACTGGTAATTTGGATTTCTGAACACGTGGGTGTCCAATGCCCGTTTACCAAAGGATGTATTATGGGTAGTTGACAATCCGCCCACTCTGCCTCCTTTTGAGATGAGTCATGCAGCAGGCATGGTCATGTCTAATTAATACTCATCTTGTGGCACAGGCAACCAAAGTGATAATCTGGTGTCTGAGAATAGGAATTTTTCTTTGCATATATGGAAAGAAATATACACCCACACAGAGAACTATACACTTGCATGCATGCGTACATACGTTAGAGCCGTGATGATAGGTAAAGCTGTAAGCTATATATTTTCTGCTGTAAGAAGATTTAAGATTCCTTTACATTCTGTTCAACACACACTTTTTTATGGGTATTACACACACACACACACACACACACACACACACACACACACAGAGACTATAAAGGATGCCATTCCCGGGGGGGGCGGGAATGAAATCAGATCATATACATTATTTTTTTCTTGACACTTCAAGAGTTTCACTAAAAAGAAAATCTGAAATAAAAAAAAATGATTATATAATGTATAGTTTGCAAATTCTCCTTTTGTTTATCCTTGAGTGAGTTCACGTGTAACTGAGAAAAGCATCTGGCCCATTTAGTCCAGAAAATTAAGACTCCCAAGTAATTGAATTCATTCAACTTCTGCTTATGGTCCTGTGTGCCTTTTTAAAAGATCCTCCCATTTTTAGCCATTAAGATTAAATCCCATGAATCTTTATTGTTAACATTATTAATATAGCATTAATATGGATTGTGCAGGGTTGCTTGTATGTTTGGTTTGGGTTTTTTTTATTGCTGGCAGCACTGGGGATAATACAGGTGAAGAAAAGTTAGGCTATACCAAAGCTAAAACAAATAATCAGGTCAAGCAACATTTCAAGAATTTTTTTCTAGCTCTCTCTCACCAACTTTCCTCTGGAAACAGCCCTATTGCTCCACTCTTGATTTTGAACCAGTTTTTCTGGCTAATGCCATGGAGATATAGCCATCTTCTTAGAAGGCCCTTGTTGAGGAATATAGTTTAATGAGAGTCAAGGAAATACAGGAGCAAAGAGTAGGAAAAATATCCTCATGAGAACTGGATATGGGTTTTTCCTTTTTTGGGGGAAGGGTCAAAAACACTGCTTCATTGAAACCAAATTTTTTTCCTTTTTTGTGGGAAAAGGGATAAATGCGAGAGACAAATATATGCTGTAAATCAAGGCTCTCTCCCCCCTCCCACCCCCTTGTCATATGTAGTATCAAAAACTTCAAATATGTATATGTGTATGTGTGTGTGTGTGTGTGTGTATGTGTGTATACATATATATACACACACACATATACATATTTGAAGTTTTTGATACTATTTAAACAAAAATGTTTTCTTCTTTTCATTGCATATTTTTTATTTTGTTTCGTTTAGAAAGGTAATGAAAAAAGTAAACATTTAAAATGGCCAAAAGATTGAGAGAACCATTTTTAAAAATGTATTTTTATTTATTTATTTCCTTTTTTGTTTTGTTTTTGTTTTGCAGAAGTCATCGAGATATTGACTTTATGTCCTGATTTAAAACTGAATTAAAAAAAAATATATTTTTTCCAGAAAAGGAAAACTATATCCAACCCTCCTCTCCTCCCTACAGCAAGCAGGCCATGCACCATGTGCATCCCGTATCATTAGCACAGTAGTGATGGATACTTTAGAATAGCTCTTATTTGTCTAGAAATTTTCATTAAATGTGGTGGTAGCAAATCTCTAGCCCCCTCCATATAGCTAAATAAGAATAAGCCCTGGCTAGAATCAAGCTACATCAAGAGTCCTACTATGGAAAACATTAAAAAAAAACCCAACCATGCTTTAGTAATACAAATATAGAGGAGAGCAGACAGGCATTGAGATGAACAACTATGAAATCTATATTTTGTATCTCTTTGTCTTCCAGTTCCATCTGTTCCCTCTAACCACCTTGGAAAGGGCCTCTTTTTTACTACTTTCTGCACTTCTGTAAGTAGAAAGAATATTTATTTCCAAAGCTGCACAATGAATTTGTCAGGAAGTTCCTTCTGTGGAATTTCATAGCTACCCAAAATGTAATGCCATGTTGAACCCTCAAGCTATAAAATGAGATTGCCTTGCTTGTCAGGGGCTACCATGATGAGAGAACAGGATCCCTATAAAAAAAAATTCTACTGAATCTCCTCCTACCAGCCTGGAATTATTCTCTGTTTACCTCAGGGGTTGCAGACTGGCAAGGGACCCTACCATCTGACTATGGGACATGCCAGGTCTTGCAGACTTGCTGTTGTAATAGAGCTCTTGCATGGTAAGTTTACGTTCCACACACCACTGAATGGAGAATCGTCCATGAGGCTTAGTGATGGGTGACCCAACCGCACATTTTCTTTTTTTTTCTCTTTCTGGAAATGATACAGTCTCTTCTGTGTGCATAACTAGGCTGGGGATTTCTAGGGAATAGATGTCACCAAATCTTTCATACTTCCATCCTCTGGTCTGGCCAACCATACAGTATGTCAGCCCTTCTTTTTTTTGGTGTCATTTCAACCTGAACTCTGCAGAAAAGTTCAAAATAGAAAAAAGTGTGTGCGTGTGTGTCTACATCCACATCTATGTCTATGTCTACGTCTACGTCTATATCTATGTTTACGTCTATGTCTATGGTTGTATGTATATATATATATATATATATATATATATATATATA